AGCGACTTACAGAAGATTTCATATGCGCCGAGAATCTTCTCTATCGAACCTTCCACCCTTGTTCAAACAACGCTTCAGGAAGCCTCCCTTTGAAACCTCCCCAAAATAACACAAAGTGGAAAGGAGAAATAAAGCAGACAATCTAGAGTAGAGGATGTTTATTTAAGTTAGGTTTTGAACCAGACAAAAATTTGGAGAGTTCAAAGATAATTAAGTCACCTCTATGTCAAGTAAGAAAAACAAAAAAATTAAAGGTTAAACTTATTTGGTTTGTTCACCACATTCAGTAGCAGTCAGAAATACAAATATTGTAATCTGAAATGTCATTCTAGGCTTTCACACAATGGATCAGAGTATTAGAAAAAGTAACTGAAAGGCAAATTTAGTAAGATTTGTCTTGCAGGCATAACATCTTAATATTTATGGTACAATACCATATTAATGAATACCTTCAATTGCAAAGGCAACCACAAAATTCCCCAAGGCCACAGCTGCCTAATTCAAATGTTATAAAAGCAATAACGAAAAACACAGGCTGAAAATTCCCTTGACTTCATAAATTCTGACATGACTGCAGAATGTGTCAAGAGAGAACTTTGATTATCTGCAAGAAGTTAGATAATGATGGATATTAAAACAGACAATCATCAAGTGACTGAAAACAAAAAAACCCACCAAACAACCAGCACTTCCTTTAATGAGGACACAAGGGAAAAAAAAGGATGTTTTTCTTTCTGTACTGATCGACCTTACAGCTGGAATTAATGCACTTGTAAATACAAACTCATTATGTAATGGTGCATAGTTTAGCCATAGGATAATTGCATTATTTTACTGTACATCAAGCCGTTCGATATCAGTTTCAGGACTGCTACACAGGATGCATAGTTGTTCTTCTTCTTTCTTTCCCCTAACCTTTCATATTTATTCTAAGGATAAGAATATTTGTGAAAAGAATGAATATACCACGTTTCTGCTAAAAAGGAAAAAAAAAACCCAAAGAATTAATCAATAATTACGTAGACTGCATTTAACTTGTAATTCATGGCAAGACTGCGATGTGAAGGCAGAGCTGTTCAAAGTAAACCACTGAACATTCTGAGAAGTATCTATGCCAATTAGTAACCAGTTAATATCTGAATGATCTAAAAGCGTTTTCCACACTCAGAGACCACGAACGTTTGGCTGGCATACAGCTAATCTAGATCACTAACAGTGGACAGCAAGCTCTTAAAAATTTCGTTATCAGAATGCATAATTTAATTACCAGGATGCCCTGTCACTCACACACCAAACTGCTTGATACACGGGTAGTACCTGCATACTGCCTGAACTGGAAGACTTGTCTAGCACTTTCCCAACTTACAGGCATACTTAGTATCTCTCCATTAAGTCTAGTTTTTCATGTAGCTGCAAATGGCAAACTTCATGTTTGTACACACAATTATTGACTAAACAAGCAGAATGCAATTTACCAATAATGCCTCAACATTATCCAATTTCAGCTAAAATTAAGTTTTGAAGGTTCTCAATTAAAACATCCCAATGTAAATCTCAATGTAAATGTGTCTCGATTTAATTCACTGAAATATTTACCTTCTACATTCGCTGCAACAGCTGTTAAACATATTCATTTGTAGGGCGCGTACAAAAACTCGGTCTCTGCTTTTGTGTCAGTCTCCTTACATTAGGGCAAACTTCCACCTTCCCACCTCACTCACTTCAATTTGATTAGGATGTGACACCACATTTTTCCTCTGTTCAATCCATTTGAAGAACCAAAAAATCCACAGCAGCCAGTTTGCAGATCCTAATTCCCATTTTATCAGAATTTCATCCCCATATCTTATTCCAGAGTCTTTTGAATATTTTGCTTATATTTTGTACTTTAACAGAATTATTACTGAGTCATAATTTCCTTATAGTTTGTGTCTGTGGAATAATACCTATGGTTCAATTAACTCAGCTCTGGGATGACAGCACAGTTATAACATTCTCAATTATTCCATGACATCCTGATATAGGAAAACAAGTTATCATAATTTCCCCTGCTTCCAAAGGTGATGGAAATACTGATTTCCTTATGTTTTTTTCCTATTGGCTATCACTTTCCCCCTCTCACACTACTTCCCAAGCTCCTATTAAAGAATAGCACCCTTACATGAATCAGGAACATACATAAGAAATTTCACAACAGCCATAGGGCAAATTGCAATTCCAAAACATACAGCTTTTCTGAAGATTTTTTTCAGAAATTTTTGAAGCACATTATGTTAAATAAACACTGTTTCTTCATATTTTTAATAGCTATAAAATTACACTGCACTCTGACTGCTTTCGCTGCTTGTTATTAATCAAACATACAGTACCGATTTCACACTTAGGCTACATTTAAAATTTAACATCATCTGACTGTAACATCTGTTCACCTCTGATCTGCATAAATTAACAACAGAAATCTCCACATTATGCATCTTCTGAAGTTTGTCTTCACTTTGCCCTGGAGCTTTCGACACTCAGTCTACTTAAGAAAACTGTTGCTTCTCACACTAAAATCACAAATTACAACAGACATACATATGCACACTTCACACATAAGTGTTGAATGAGGTTCTGGCCTTTTCCTGGTGTCATGCTTGATAAAATCAGAACAATAGCATCATGATACCAGAATTATATCTCTAATGTTTAACAGTATCTCTATTTGTACTCATATTAGCCTTAAAAATATTCGTATTTTCTATGCTCTCAGCAAAAAACCCACACCAAAACCACTACTCCCATTACCCGCCCCTCCCCCCCAAACCTGTAAGATTACAGAAAACCTCTATCTAGGGTCAGTCTCATCTTATCTAATACACATAATCTCCATTGGAGCTAGCTGTCCAGACTCCCTTTATCAACAAATTGAGAGAGAGAGGCATGCGCAGGGGCCAATTCAGCTCATTCTAAGGCAGATCAGTCTAAAATAGGCCAAGATGAATGAACCAGTAACTGTTATGTATGTCCACTGGCCAAAGGGAGTAAAAATGAGAAACCTGAATGATATGTAGATATGCACATAGCAGATACCTAAAGTTAGATCAGTTGAATTACACCCTAGTATCTATAAGGATGCTGAGATGTAAATCAGAGCCAAATAAAACACACTAAAAGATGACTGGATTTTTGCCTCTGGAAGTGAGTGTGGAGTTTCAAACAGGCCCACAACTTAAGCTCATGACTGCATTCACTGTAAAGGGACCACAGGAATCCTCGCTTTCCCACTGGACTTAGTTTAAATGGTGGAAATTGGTTTCTACCCAATTTCTTCCCACCCTTTTGGAGTAGCCTGTCTTGAATTAATTGCTTATTTGCTATTGTCTGCATCAATGGCCCATGTCAGAAACTTCTGTTGTGGGGTATTCAGTGCAATTATTCTACTGGCAAATGATAAAGTGAAGCAAAAAGAAATATTTATAAGAATGACCCAATTCACCCAAAGAAATACCAAACTCACCCAAAGAGGATTTAGACTGAAAGCATTTGACCCCATTTAGAGCAACGATGTGCATTTTTCATTTGTATTTATGTTCTCACTAAAGCTATGATAACAGTGCAGCCTTCAAGTATAGACATTCATACACTCATATCATGCATACAGATTTGCAATTTTATGTTCAGACGATAATAAGATATTTTTGGTTGAAAGTTTTTTGTCACAAGAGGATTTAGACTGAAAGCATTTGACCCCATTTAGAGCAACGATGTGCATTTTTCATTTGTATTTATGTTCTCACTAAAGCTATGATAACAGTGCAGCCTTCAAGTATAGACATTCATACACTCATATCATGCATACAGATTTGCAATTTTATGTTCAGACGATAATAAGATATTTTTGGTTGAAAGTTTTTTGTCACATGTCTAGTCAGTACTTTATATCTGAAAGACCAAGACATCTCAATCATTTAAAAACTTACTCAGTTTCAAAGACAGTGATGCATTTAACCATAATAAAATAATTTTTATATATATACACACATATTTGAAAGAAGTTCTTCATGGCATTAGTTCTTTTTATGCATCTCAATATTTTAAATGGCAAAGACCACAGCTACTGGCAGTTGCATTTCCATATCTCATTTTCCTTTTGCCCGAACTTTGCAGAAGTCTTTTCTCTCTCAAATGTACTTAATTTTAAATTAGACTTTTTATTGTGATAATAAAAATGTCCCAAATAATGCATTCTTTATGCAAAGAAAATAAATTTCTAAACATTGTTCTATCTGAACTGAATGAAAAAAGGGATTATTTGTCAGTTCCATCTGTTGGTTACATGCTTTCATCAGTCTGGACATAACTTTTATTTCCTAAGAGTAATCCATCACAGTGACATTTTATCCTAAAGTGAAACACGAAAGCTTTAATGAAATCATTCCATGGTTTTCAGCACATTGCAAGCTTACTAAAATTAAAGGCCCAGCCAGACATCCCGTGCTACACCTCCTTATGTACAAGAGTTCAATCTCAAGGACAACTCCAACACGAATACGACTTTATTTACATGAGGAAATTTTGATGGTCAAGTGGTTTATTGAATAAAATCACCTTATAAATTTTCCTATAACTCCATGATTGATCAAACTGAGAACTCAAGATCTTTTCCTCTCCTCTTTCTTTGAGGTTATACTGCACTGAGAGCTTAACAAGAAGTCAGACTAAAATTTACCAGTTTCTGAAGTATGCTTGTTTCCCCTTGGCTAGAAAAGTTACCTGGGACTACTCTTCTGCATTGTAAAACACTGGGACAATTACTTCTTAACTTTGAAAAGTTCTAATAACAGGTTTAATTTCAATTGAGCCTATGAGAACAAACTGCAGAGAAATCATTTCAGAAACAATTTTTCAAAGTATACAAGAGTAAATCCATATGCTGCTGAGATGAAGCACAATAAAGCATCACTGAGATAATCTATAGTTAAAATGATGGTGTATGACTTATGATTAAGCTTCATTACCTGCAGAGCAAGGGGCTTCCATCTCATATTTTTCAGTAAAGCTGGTGCTGAGGTAAGCATGCTCTGAGGTCGCTTTTTCAAAGTTAAGATAACACCACTCGGATCCTCTCGTAGTGCATTCACCAAATTTTTCAACTGCCACCCCACCTGGTAACCAGTAAAATCATTACAATAAAATTGAGGTACAGTATTCAATATGTAATGTTCCCTTTTTAAATAAGATTAGTAAAATAACATAATAGGAGTGTATATATATATATTAAAGGAGATTAACTCTAGAAATGTCAAAAATAAATTACTGCATAAAAATCACGTCAACTAAAATAATTATTATAATGCATTAAGATGGATATGCATCATTTCAGGTTTTAGAATTAATAACCTACTGTTACTCCACTTTAAATGCACAATTAAATCTCAAAGTGTTTTCAAGATAAGCTCTGGTACATAGACTTTAGAGACTAGAAGGTTAAAAAGCCCTGGCTTGTGCCCCAACAGTTCAATTCAAAACTGAGCGTTTTATACTCCATGGTTACTATTTAAAGTACACTAACCACATGTAGTCATGCTACTTCTACTCCTAGCAGCTTATGCAAGCACAAACCAGTTCAGGAAAATCTTCTACTCTTCACACTGCTATAAAAACAAAATCAGAATCACATGGGCTTTTTTTTAAATAGTACTTCTTTCATGATGATTTCAGAAACAAATACAGTAAATGAATGACAGAAATGTAGTCTAGCCACTACTTGAGTATTAGCCCGAAGTAAAATTTTCCTAATTGAATTACAGCATTTTGAAATATTCTAAAATTAAGAACTTGACTAACATGGAAAGCAACACGTCTTTATTTATAAACGCAGGATAGAACTTTCTGAATCATTTACTTCGCATTTTCGGAAAAAGTACTTCAAATATTAAAACAGTACAACTCATGACAATGGTTTTCAGTCTAAATAATGCCTGACCGCAAGTATCTATCTTGAAACGCTTTGATATTCAATTCCTGCATTTTCAAGTTTGGCACCTAGAATGGCAATACACAGAATCATACATCCCTTGAAAATCTTGGCTTGTAGACTTAGAAAGTGATTATTTCTGTAAACTTGACAGCTTTTCTACCTTTTTCTCTCTCTCCCCCCTAAACAAACAAGTAAATTTTCCTGATATTTAAAGGATCACAGTTACAAATATTTTCCTGCTTTCACAACTTGTACAAGAACAATGTTAAGAAGAAAATTATCCAATTGAGAAATGAAATTCTTACTGAAAAAACATCTAGAACTCCAAAGTGATAAGGTAACATCATTGTAAAAAGGTAACTTTATATCATGTCAATATATTTGAAAAAAATTAAATAGGCAATGTGAACAAAGAGAATGCAGATGTTCCTTATCATTGGTATAGTGCAATATGACACAAATATATATTTGTTACCTATGTTTAAGCAAGGCAATCACACGTAGGTTGTTGCTACTTATTTTTTACATTATTCCCTATTACACCGAAACTCACTTTGTTTGCTTAGTATCACTTATTTTAAGAGCTGATGCTCCTGTATGAGCATGCCACTTAAGCCAACACTAATGCTTACCAACAACCCTGAATCACAGACGTGGTTCAAACCTCACCACTCGTCCTCAGCTACTGTGAACCTACCTGTCCTCTTTTCACCACAGCAAAGTTCATTACATCCAGGATGCACTTCTACAGTAATATTATTGTAAACAAAGAAACAGGGTGTTGACAACATGCATCTTCATGGAATATTTTCCAGCTTCCACAGAAGACTTCCAAGCATGCCGGAATTCTTATTTTAGTTCAATGTACTAGGCATATGGCTATTATACTTTGAATAAAATGAAACATGAACGAAATCAACTTCAGCTCAATTCCCACATCCTGTTGAAGTCTCCATTTTGTTTCAACAGTATCTAAACCAAGTCTCTGTAAGTCCAAGTTTTGTGTTTTAATATTACGATTTTATAAAAGAATACCTTGCTATTTACAATACTGTTTTCCTACTTGGAGAGACTTCCACCACTGCTTAGAAACAATACATTCCCCATAGTTCCATAATGTCACCTTGGGCATATGCAAGGTTTCATTTGTTACCCAAAAGCAGGAATTAAAGGTCTACAGTTCATGTAAGGTATCTCTGTACGTAAGCTACTGTACACTTTAATTCCCTAATGTAACAACTGAAGACAGATTTCTGGAGAGGGATCCTTCTGCTGAATAAAGTAGCCTTTACAGGGAGCCTTGAGGAGAACATGGTGTGATCCTAGTTACGGAGTCAGGATGTAAAATTCTTGCCATTTAAGTTGGTAGGATGCTGCATGCAAAAGCTGTGCTTTAATGCCATCTGTTTCTCATTGAAATAGCCAGAGGAATATAAATAAAATTGGGGTTTTTTGGTTATGCTAGCAGTTTTAAAATTATTTTAAACGCACTTTCATACTTCGCAGAGAAAAACTGTATCATGTATTTCAACTACGTCTTACATTGCAATAAATGGGAGATTATCTAGTCTCTTTATGAGAGTTAGGGGGATTAAAGAAAAAAATCACTTCAAAGCACTAAATCTGATGTATTTAATTTAGAAGCTCATGAATATAAACAATTTAACTTAATTTTTCACAGGAAAATTCTGAGTTCACTACAAATTTCAAATTAAGTTCATCCTTTGCTTTTACTTAGTTTGACAGCAATTTTCTGGCTGTTCAGACAGTCTTTGGTTGCTTCTCATCTTTTGAACAGAAATCACTAAATTGGCCTAAGAGGAACAAGTCACATAAGAGGCTGTCAACAATAAATTGAAGGAAATTGATGTCCACGTAGGAGGTATGCTTTTCAGTTCCCACATAGTTTAGATCCCATCAGATCCCATCAGAATTCATATTGGCACAGACTAAACAGAAGTAATCTTATTTGAGGAGGTCAGGTTGGAAAGAGGAAAAGGAAGTGAATATATCTGGAACTGAAAACTGTTTTCCAGAAATCCACTTTAGTGACATGTAATCTACACTTTCTTTTAAGTGTGATTTGAACTTATTCTCTCTAATGTCTCCTTGGGATCCTCATTACCACCACAGCTACCAATTCTCAACTCCTAATCATCAAGTTTTTGGACAGAGCTTTCAAATCCCTACCATATCCTTTATTCTGCCCATGTAGTGCAAAAATGGACAGTAATAAGAAAGTTTCATTACTGGTTTGAAAATTTAATAGGTAAGTAAAAGGACTATATTAGCAGACAACTTTACTTACATTAAAACAACCCGAGCGATTCATTTTTAAATCAGTGCACTATACTGACCAGGTACCCATTTTTAAGGACCAAGCAAGTTACTGTTGCTTGCTTTAAAATAAACTTACATTGTTAAACCAAGTGTCATCAACAAGCTGTAGTCAGGAGAGGTCTCTTTAGTGGCAACCTAAGCCCAGTGTTGGGTTTTGCTGTGCAGCGCCTGAATCACTCCTGGCTGCCAGTGCAGCTCATGGCCGAGCACAGGGAGGGCCGAGGGCAGAGCAGGGCAGCCCCCGGGTCAGGCGCCATGCACAGGCACAATGCAGCCAGTCCCTGGGTAATACTGGGAGCCCCGGGGTGGGGGGGAAGTGTGCCCACTGCATGGGTGCAGGCCTGGGCACCCGAGGGAACATAGGGCACCTTATGGAAAGGTGGAGCGTGGAGTAGGACAGGCCACGGGGTTTTTTTTGGTGAGGAAGGAGGAGGACTATGGGCTCAAGGAGTAGCAAGGGAAGGTGAGCATGGCATGCAAAGATAGGGGAACTAGGGGAGGAGAGGAGAGGAGAGGAGAGGAGAGGAGAGGAGAGGAGAGGAGAGGAGAGGAGAGGAGAGGAGAGGAGAGGAGAGGCGGGGGGACGGGGGGGTGGTGGGGGGTGGCTAGAGGAGAGGAGAGGAGAGGAGAGGAGAGGAGAGGAGAGGAGAGGAGAGGAGAGGAGAGGGAGCACCACAGGGGTGGCCCGAGGGGTTGTGGTGAGTGGTTTCTGCCAAGGAGTTTACAGCACCTTTGCTGGAGGAGTCTACTGCCAAGGTAAAGGAGGGATAGACAGGGTAGCCCACATCCAAGCCACCTAAGGACCAATACCCCAAGGCCGAATGAACAGCGCTGCTGGGGGATGGCGCGAGAAGGGTCATCACCCTCCCAAAGGGGAGGGCAATGCTCTGTGCCAGAAGCGAGCCTGCAGGCAGGGTGCCTGTAACATCAGCATCAGGCCACCTCCAAATTTCTCATCTCATCCCGCCATTACATGCCCAGAGGTTGTGGCCAGGCTGGGAAGCCTCTCCAGCGTGCTCCAGAGACACTTGGGGCCACCCAGGTTGCTTCAGCAGGACAAGACAGGCACACGGGAGCCCTGCGCAGATGCACACAGCTCTGACATATCCTCCTCATCTCCCCTGCCTCTCCCCCTTGCCTCCCGCTGGCTTATCCACCACCTGGAATACCCCAGCACCCATTACCCGAAATAGCAGAAAGCTTTAGCAGGGGGTGCTGTTAGAGGTCTGCTCCCCCAGGCACCACCTGGGAAAAGAAGATGCCCCCAAGCAAGATGAGACATATTTTAAAAGACCCCAATGTTTCTTTGGCTTGCAGCAAGCACATCTGGATGACAATACTACAATGGCCTGAAATGGAACTTTTATTTTGAATTCCTATTCTAAATTGCCAAGAACGTTAACACTTTAAACTGTTATAAAGTTGCTCTTAAAGTAATGACCTTTTCTTCCCAGATGAATCTATTGCCCCCTTTATGGCAAGCTTGGGAAATTGGTAATACTCTTCCCTTTTTCTGAAAGTAAGCATGCCATTCATTGAATCTTTTTTTTTACACAGCTGCACCCATGACAGTATTCCCAAACTCCTGTGCTCATTAATGATTTCTGTGAGTACTGCTGTATGTTATGAGCCAGAGAGGAGCTCTGCAAAATATTAACATGCAGGCAGTTCAAATACAATTGGATGGACCTAAACCAAGTATTTTTAGGATGCTACAAGATCCAGTACTAAATAACCTACAGTCTGAAAAATCCAGCACATGTATCCCAAAGAAACTATGGAACAGCTGCATCATTTAAAAGCAGTGTGCAAATCTAAAACACACTAAAACTACATCATCTAGAG